TGTTCTGTTGGACGGCTTTATGTGAAAGTTTCCCTAAAAGATACTTTCCAAGATTATTTTAGCTATTGTTTTTATACCTCAGGGTCCAGTTGATGTGTCCTTGTGAGTCCTTGTGGGCTCAGCTCCATCTGGGTCACATTCTCTATGCTCAAGGACAGGCAATAATAACTCCAATATTATTTCCTAAAGCAGGCCTCAGAACTAATGTTGTCTTGGCTCCCCCCTACCCACTGCGTCCACCCCCCCAACCATGTTAGGGTTCTGAGGCCCCCGAGTTTCCCTGGTCGCTCCTTCTCTCCGCCCCCACACCCTGCCTGGCCCAGACCCCTCTCTCCGGCACCTGGACACAACTTCCTAACTGTGCTTCCTAAACCCCTGAGTGGCCTCATCAGCCCCCTGCTCGAAAGCCGCAGTGAGCCCCTCCGAACTACAGAGTCCAGTTGACCCCTTCAGTCTGCCCTTCGGTGACTCCTCCAATCTGCTGTCTACCTTCCTACTGCCACCTCCCTGCGTCTCGCCATGCTGCCCTCCTGCATCCAGGCGATGCCCTCTCACTACTATCCCCTTGCCAGAGTCTGGCTCATGCCCATGAAGCTCGTCTCCTTCTGGAAAACTCCCTGACCTCAGGCGACTGCTGCCTGGTGCTGGCAAGCGTCTCTGAGATGGGGCCTCGGTCTTCATCACTTTGTCCTCTCATTGCCCAGGCCAGGTGACACACACCACAGGTGCCCTGCTAATGGCATGTCGGGGGCAAGCCCTGACAAGTTAGCTCTTGGCCTCTGGTCGTGGACTGGGGGTCGAGGCAGAGGCGTCTGGGAAAACACTGTAAGTTCTCTATGCTCCCACCATGGAGAAGAGAGCTCTGAATAAGGGAGACCCCATGGGCTCGGGTCCACACAGGGTTCCCCTCCGCTGCTGGGGCTGGGGCTGGAAAGCTCGTGATCCCCAGCCCTGAGTGTGTCCTGGAGAGCAGAATGGAGGGGTGGGTCCCCAGACCAGTCCTAGTTCTGCCTCCTGATGCCTCAGAAGGTTAGACCTAGGCTTTGCCCCACTCTGGCATGTGGGTTCTTGGGAGGATTGTGGCCCAGACTTCGTCCCCAGCAGATACAACCTATCCAGGGCCAATCCCTCCAGTCCCACGCCCTGCCCTCTGGGTCCTCCCGACCCCAGACAAGTGTTGGGAGCCTTCCGACGCCTGGCCTGAGAGGTCTACACAAAGACCTCTTGTCAGTAGGAGTCAGGACCACAGTTTCTCGAGACAGGAATGGACATGGGAGTGAGGCGGGGGCAGTGGGTTTGTAGGAAAGGCATGTCATTCTTTAAGCCACTGTCTTGGGCCTTCCCTGCTCCTTCCCATTTTGAGGGTCACCTGCCTAGTTGCTGGGCTCTCATGCAACTCAGCCTTGCCCACCCTCTTCCTCCTCAACACTCACTCACCCGCCCGGAGCCACCAAGTGGAGCCAGTGGCTACTAAGGTCTCAGCCCTAGCCAAGAAGGACCGTTCCTGAGCCGTGGATGTGAGCCTGGGGCTGGGCCTGGCGGTATCCAGAGGCAAGTGAGGCACAGTGACTGTTTCCAGGAGCACCAAGGCTAGCTGGGGACAGATAGCAGCCAGAGCCTGGGGCTTCAGAGACAGCAGGGCACGGAGGAGGGGAGCTGGGATGTGCTGGCAGGGAAGGACACCATGAGGGGAGGGACAGAAAGGACTCTGAGGGGCTGCCTCAGGATCTCCCCCACCAGGTCACAAACGGTCCCCATAACCTATGTGTTCCAGCCCCAGTGGGCTAGTGAAAGACAGCCTTTGGGGCCCTTTAAAGGACGCTGCGGAGGTATAGGGTCTCTATGAGTCGGAATCAACTCGATAGCAATGAGTTTGGTTTGGTGGAGATAGTGTCTGTCCACTTGGACGGTGTTTACCACGGAGTTACCTGAGGCAAGAAGAAAAATACCTGAGCCCTAACCTGGGATGTCACCCGTGTTATTTCATCTCCCTAGAGACCTGGTGATGTAGGCACCCCCTCATTTTACAAATGAGGGCCAGAGAGATAAAGAATTTATCTAAAGCCACACCCTGCCTCTCATCTCACTGCCAGACTGAGGAGAAGGTTCAGGGCCGAGGGCTTATCTTCTGTTTGATTAGCCATCAACAGGGGCAGCCATTCCGGAAACAGTAAATGAAGTCTGAGAAGCCTCCCCCCTAACCCCATGGGTGGAGCCTCGCCAGGGCTGTGCTCTCCATGTGTCGTCCAGAGGGTAGGACCTCCCTCCCCAGGGAGGAAGACCCCCGGACTCCCTGCCACCTCGTCCTCAGGGTTGGCGCCTGGTCTGTGTACTACAGACCACGAATAGGGTTCGCCCCTGGGGTGGAGCTATCAGCTGAGCTGGCAGGCGGCCAGGGAGGGTGGGGGACCAGCAGGAAAGCGACGTGACCCGGCCCGTGCCCTGAGGTGCAGGGACAATCGGCCCATCCCCGGACGAGGAGAGGGAGGGCACGGAGTGAAGTCTCAACACAGACAGCGTTGGCGGGGCAGCCGGTGAAAAGAGCACTGGACCGGGCGTCATCCCCGCTGCAAACAGGCTGTGCGGCCCTGGGCAGATGGCGCCGCCTCTCTGGGCCTGTTTCCGCATCAATAAAACAAGGCCTGCACAACTCAGGGGCTTCTCTAGACCGGTTGAGTTGGGAGGAGGGGCTTCTGGAGACTTGGGGGATTCACCCTGCTCCTCCGCTCCCAACAGCCAGGTGTTCGTAACTTGGCTGCCCCCTGGTGGTGGCAAGGAATAATCGCGCGTAGTGTCAATGGGAAACATCATGCCTGTCATCGGCCTGCCCCCAGGACTTCTCCCCAGGGTGGAGCGGGGATACTTTAGGGTCCTTCCCTTAGGACTGCATGCATTCTGGGTGGAGATAAAGGGAGTCACAGCCTATGCACCGGATACCGCAGTTATGCACAGGATAACACGTATTCATTCTGCAAGCCGATGGAGGGCACTGTGCCAGGCACTGGGGATCCAGAGGCACTTGACGCATCATTGCTGCTCTCAGGGGGCCTCTGTCCAATGGGGGAGCAGCCAGGCAAGCCACAGACTGTGGAGAGAGTGAGAGAATGTGGGGTACTCAGAGGTGCGACACGTTCTGTGAGTGACACTCGGGAAGGACACAGCCAGAAACTGTGAGCCTGCGCTGACTGATGGTTTGTGCCGGCCACGTGGGCCTCCAGCCTCTTGGGCTAGATCAGGAGAGTCTCGCCCCGCAGGCCCTTCCAGAAGAGCTGGATCACTCTCTCTATGGATGGGCCGGATTTCTACCTGGGCTGCCACTCCAGGGGATCCCCCTGCAGCTCTCCTGCCCTCACCCTGGCGGGGGCCAAAGGCCAGAAGCCAGGGGATGGCAGACCTTGCCTTGCCCCTGTGGCCTCCTCTGTCTGCACTCCTCCCCAAACTGGGTCTGGGGTCCTGGGTTCCAAAGCAGGGGGTGGGGGGAATCATTAGGTGTCAGCTGCCATCTCCCCTTCCCAGCCGAACAACAGAGCTTGGGGTAGGTGATGGGAAGCGTGACCGCGACCCACCCAGGGCCCTGCCCCTGCCCGTCTGAGTGGGGTAGGGCGAGGAGAGTGTGGGAGAAGGAGGGAGTGTGCGTGAAAGTGTGTGTGTGAGAGGCCCAGGGCGAGGACCTCGTGCGTCACTGTCGCTGGGAAAGTAGACGAGTCTGACTCAGTGGGAACATCCGGCAGGAAAGGAAGACGAGAGCACAGTGGCATTTCTAAGCAGGACGGGAACTCCAGGCCACCGGAGATGGGGTGTGGGGTCAGAGGTGCTGTGTGAAGGCCCAGATGAAAAGGGCTAACGTGGTGGGAAGGGTGCGGTGTCAGGGGCAGCTCCAGGGGAGCAGTTCCAGGCTGGACCTCTGGCTGCCTGGGCTGGGCTGGGGAGGATAGAAGGCAGCTGGGCCCTCTGCCCTGGAGATAGAAGGTGACAAGCTGTGGCCTGGGCTTGGGGAAACTGAGGCCCAGTCAATCAGGACGTGGGGAATGCAGGGCCTTCTGATGCTCACCTCGTGGCCTGGGGGTCGGGTCCCTGTAACTAGGAGGAAGATCTCCTAATACAGAGGGACCTCTCCTGCTTGCAGAGCCCTCAAAATCCAGGCCCCAGAGATCCCCCCCTGGGTGGGGGGTGGGGGGCTGCCAGGAAAACTGCCTCTCTGGTCAGAGACCAGCCTCAGCTGCATGGGGGAGATTTGGGGAGAGGCTTTCCCAAGGAGGGCTCCTTCCTTTCTGGGGGTCAGAGAAAGGGCAGAGGCCCAGGTCGAGCTCGGCGGCAGGTGGGCCAAGTCCAGAGAGGCTGAAAGGACCAGCCCTGGAGAGCAAGGCTGGGAAGGGCCTGGAGTTCTGGAGTCCGAGAGGGGAAGGCTGTTGGCCCGCTTGGAGCTGGGGTGTCAGGGGCCCTAGAGGAAGGCCCAGCTTCCTGTACCAAAGGGCTAGAGACCCAAACAGCTGAGCCTCCCAGGCAGGGCTGTATTTTAAAATCCGGAGAGGACGATGTTCAACCTAAAGGAACGAATGACTAATGGTGTTATTTTAGGTATATGGTGTTATTTGGTGACCTAGGGCGTGAGCTTCTTGATCCCTTGGAATTACTTAAACCAAGCAGCAGAGCGGAGGTACTTTTGGGGAGGGGACCCTCTGACCACGGGTCTGGGTGGGTTGGGCTGTGTCCTGTAGGCCTTTTTCTACTAGAAGGGAGGGACAGGTCAACACTGGCTGCTCATCTGCCTGCAGGCTGCCCAGGCTGGGGATCTGCTGGGGCCTCCTGTGTGGGCCCGGGCCGCCAGGGAGAAGCTCTGATAGTCTGTCTGGGGACGCTGGGGCAGGGCAGGGAGAGGTGCTGGGCAGGGCCGGCTGGCCACCAGTACCCTGGTCCTCGCCCTCCCAGAGTGGATGGGTGGGGGCGGTGACCGAGGCGTTCCTGGCTGGGAGCCCAGAGGCGTCTTTTGTAATCACAACATGATCTCGTGTGCTGAGCAGTGAAGCCGGCAGGGAGAGGCCGGCAGAGGCCGGCAGAGGCCCGGCTCCAGGGCTCCGGCTTCCCTCCAGCTCTGGCTCCCCTGGGGCTGCTCTGGAATTCTCCCCGTGCCCGCTGTCGCCATGCACTTGGCTGTGAGTGGCACCTTGCCTTGGCGGGGGGCTTCTTGGGGCTGGGGGTAGGAGTGGCTGGGATACCAGGCAGTCACACTCTGAGGTCGGCTGTGGACAGCTGGGCCTGGGAGGAGGAGGGCTGTGCCTGGGCGGGCAGGGGGCTGGGAAGGGGCACCAGCCATAACAGAGACCCTGCAGCCAGGTGGGGAGGGACCCGGGAATCTTGCTCCAGAGGCACGGCCTGCCCAGGGTGGCTCCCTGGCTGGGCCTACTGAACAAGAGGGACTTGCTGGGACTGTCAGGACTCGGCCCGGAGAGGCTGGGCCCGTGGGAGCGGTGCTCACCCAGGTTGCGCACAGGCCTGGGGGGTGGGTTCCAGGGCCTGGGAGCCCGGAATGCAGCAAGGGTCTCTCTTTTTCCTGTGGTTCTGGGCCTGGGAGCCAAACAGCTCCCCCCTCGACCTCCCGAATCCCTGGCACCTTCCCAGTCACGGCAGGTTTTGCTGCCAGAGCCATTTATAACTCCCACTGCAGGCTCCGCCCGGCAGTAGCACTCCCTGGAGAGCTGGGGGAGGGGTGGCCCACTGCTGAGAGCTTCAGGCCTCGGTCCCAGGAGGCCCCTGACCTGAGCCCCCAGGGGGTGGGGAGATGGCAGACAGGCCTAGTTGGGGAGGGGGCTTGGGGCCTTCCATGTGCACTCCCCAAGTAACCCTCCTCCTTCCTGGGTGCCCACAGCCCTGGGTCTGGGGTCTGCTCCCTGGGTGGTAATACCGTTAGGTGAACGAACGTGAAAGCTGGGGAACTGGCAAGGGGTGGACCCAGCAGCCAGGAGCTTGGGCTCCCTCCCTCTGCAGGGGCGTCATGGGTTGGAGTCCCCGATGAGCAGGCAGGAAGAGAAGGATGCAGAGCTGGACCGGAGGATAGTTGCCCTGCGCAAGAAGAACCAGGCCTTGCTACGCAGGTACCAGGTGAGTTGGCTGCCGCTCCCCTGCTGACCTGAAGACCCTGCATGGGGAGCTCTCCCAGCATCCACCTTGCATCAGGTTCTGGAACATGTCTCTGGGCCTGGGGCCAGGGTTTGGGTGGGCGTGGTCCTCTCAGTGGCCCAGACAAAGGTCTGGGGACTGTGATGCGGTGGGTGCCTCTGCCCCCTGGTGTCCCACTGGTGTCTCTCTGCGTAGGCCTGTCGGCGTCCGTGTTTCTGTGCGTCTGGGGGGCCATGGCCTGTGCTGACCTCAGACCCTCCCACAGGAGATCCAGGAAGACCGGCGGCAGGCGGAGCAGGGGGGCATGGCTGTGAGCACGCCGCATCCCCTCCTACCTGACAGCCTCACGGTCACCATCAGCCACGTTCCAGGAGTAAGCCTCAACCTGGGAGACAGGGCGTGGTGGCAGGAGGTGGTGGCCCCGCCCTTTGTCAGGGGAGAACTCCCCCAGCCCCTTTTCTCCTCCCACCTACAGTTCTGGGGTGTACCCACCAGCTCCCACAGCCCAGGGCCAGAGCTGACAGGCCACCAAATAGAAAGAAGCCTCCTTGTCCCTTTGCCAGCCCTGTAGTCCTGCACCAATGCTCCTAAACCCAAAACCCCAGGGGCTAAAAACCCTGCAGGAAGTGGGAGACAGCTGAATGCCAGCAACAGTGTCTGAGGGACAAAGCCCCACTGTCCGGGTGCCCTGGATTTCCCAGCTCAGACATGACGGGGCACTGCGGCATCTTGTGTCCCGGCGCCCTGGGCCCTGGATAACCTAATGCCACTGGCATGTGAGAGCGGCAGACGTCAGCCTCTCTGAGGGCATGCCAGGGAGGGCCAGGGCTGGAACCTGGGCCTGGGAGCCACCCAAAGGATCCAGCACCCAGCTCCTGCTCAGCTCTGCCCATGTGGCCTGCAGGAGAAGCGAGTGGTCAGCAGGAACTGGACAACGAGCAGCCCTGGGCCTGGTGCAGCCAGTGTCACACTTGAGGATGAGGACAGCGCTGCTGCCTTCTGCCTGGGGGAGCGGGTGGAGCTGGCTGTGACCCTGGAAAACAAAGCTGAGGTGAGTGGCGGGTGGGGATCCAGCCACCAGGAGGGCAGACTATTCTTCCATGTGTCTCCTCCAGGCCAAGAGGATCGTAAGTGAAAAGCCCACCAAAGAAAGGAACCAGGGGGCAAATGGGGCACCTGGACGGGGCTTTGGACGGAGCACCCCTACACAGATCGCTGCCAGCTCAGATTCTACACGGAAGGTACATCTTCAAGAGAGGACAGGGACTTGAAAGTGGGGGCCCTCATTTGGGGGAGGCAGAGATGCTGAGTCAGATACGTCCCGCATCTTCGGGGACATGGCCCAGGCAGCACCTCCAAGAATTCCCATCCCTCCTTCCTGTCTCTGACCGGTCTCCACTTTAGGTGGCCCTGCAGAGGCAGCAAAAAGAGACAGGGTAAGCCAGAGGTGTGATTCAGCCCCCTATCCTACCTAGCCCGGCTGGATCAGAAACCCTGGCCCCTTCCTGGACCACTGTGTGGGGGTGGGGTGGGGCGGGCTGGCCATGTGCCAGGTGTGACCTCTAGGTGGCAGCAGCCCCTACTCCTTGCTCTTTGTATTGCTCACAGCCTCTGAGTGTCCCTCCCACCCTTACAACAACCTTGTGGGATAGGTACTATTATTATCTCCATTTTACAGATGTGGAAATGATACACAGAGAGGTTAAGGAACTTGAGGAAAAACACACAGCTGATAAGTGGATGGAAACCATGCCCACGCAAACACAGCATGTTAGAGATGGAACAGACCGAATTTTCAGATGGGGAAGTCGAAGTCCTGAGAGGGGTAGGGGTTGATAGCAGCTCTAGGTCTCCATTCCACGCCCAGCGTTCTTTCTGCTTCTCCTCCACGGTGCTGAGTGCCTTCTCTTCACAGGGTGCCCGGGAGCCCCGGGTCCCAGGACCAGCTCCCCGGCGGCCAGCAGGGGGGCTCCCGGAGGTGGTCTGGGACTATGACCAGTGGAAGCAGGAGCGGGAGCAGATCGACCTGGCCCGCCTCGCCCGGCACAGAGACCCACAGGGTGACTGGCGCCGCCCGTGGGACCTGGACAAGGCCAAGCCCACGTGGGTGGCAGGGCCGGGCAGCTTGCTGGGCTGACATGCGTGGGGACCTGGGGGGTGGGGCTAACTGTGGGCACTGCTTGAGGGCTGGTGGGACCCTCCCCAGGGTGGTGTGGCTCTGCTTTAGCCCCCTGACCAGGCCCTGGGCTCAGGGAACTCTGTGGGTGCTGGGCCCCTCTCTCTTCTTGGGCCACCGTCTCCCTGCTGTTTCTGCTCTGGGGCTGGGGTGGGGGCGGGCGGTGTCGGTGTGGGTCCACCTGCAGCCTCTGTCCCCCCTCCACCCAGCAGCCGGACTCTCTCTCCGTGTCCACACAGGCCCAAGGACTCCAGCAACCCCAGGGAAGAGGGCTCGGCCAGGGGGGGCAAGAGGGGTGAGTCAACACCCACCTCGTCCCACTCCTTCGCCCCCGCCCCTTTTCTCTGCCTCTTGGTTCCCCGGTTATTCTCAGATCTGGAAGGAACCGTTGAAGAGCATCTTCCTTCCTCTTCCTCGCTGCGGGGGTTGGGGGGCGCCACAACTCCCTCCCCTCCTCCAAACCCCCAGCTCTAGCCCCAGGTTCTGACTCCAGAATGTGGCGCAGGAGGCACCTGTGGAAGTCTGCCCTGGAATCCTTCGGGGTGTTGGCGCCTCCTGGGTGGGAGCCCACATTGCTGGTCCCATTTTTTATGCTGAGAGGAAGCTGAGGCCGGAGAGGTGTGGTCGCTTGTTAGTAACACCCAGCAGGGAGTGCAAAGCAGGAACAGACCCTCCAGATCAGGGCTCTTTTTTTGGGGTGGGGGGAGGGCAGAAAACAAATAACTGGCCTAAAAGAAGGACTGACAGCTTCCTTGTCAGAGAGGGGCCTTTGTTACCACCCTATCCCCATGTCCTTCGCCTGCCTTAGGTCCCAGGAGCCACCGGAAGCTGCAGCCTTCACCATTGCCCCCTGATGGGAAAGGTGAGTTAGGGGAGGAGGAGGAGCAGTGGATAGCCAGGCAGTGGTGGCTCTCCTCTCCTTGACCTGGCGGGCCGTCTCTTGCAGGTGGTACCACTTGGGGTGGGCAACACAGCAGGCCCTCGGTGGCGCCAGCCACGGGAAGCAAAGCTCGAGGGAAGGAGAGGCTGACTGGCAGGGCCCGCAGGTAACAGGTGGCAGGGGGCAGGATCGAGGTGGGCACCTGGGGCTCCTGATTTCCTGGATCTCCCCTGCCCCGGGAGGGCACGACCAGCACGGGTCCAGGTGCCCGCTCCGGCCCCCGGGGCCTCTGCCTCCTGGCAGCAGGTTAATGAGACGCCAGGAGAGGCCAGCAGCTGCATGGAGAGCCTGGTGCCTGGGGAGCTGGCGGTAATTACAGCAGTTACCTTCCCCGGGGAAGTCAGGCTCGCCTTTCCCAGGTGGTGCAGGCAGGGACATGCCTGGAGTCCCCACAGAACTCAAGGTGCTACAGGCTTGACTGTAAACAGCAGCTGGGGACCTGGGATGGGGCCAGGGTGGGTGGTGTTCTGAGGAAGTGGCTGGATTTTTGGAACAAGGTCAGGCTGGGAGGGAAGCATCCTGGAGCCTCATTGTGGCTCTGATCTCTCCTGAGACCTTTGGGTTCTAGCTTCTTCCTGGAGATCACGGCCATCGGCTGTGGAGGGGCTGACGGAAGTGGGAACGGGTAGGAGGAGGGCCTGGTCTGTGCTGTGTTTCCACAGGTGGGAAACAAAGGGATCCGAGGAGCCGGAGAGTCAGGAGGTGGGTGCTTGGGCACAGGATGGGGTGGGCTGGGACACGGCCTGAATCACCAGCCACAGGCCAGTCTGTTGTTTCAGGGAAGTGAAAGCACCAGAAAGCCTCCGAGTGAGGAGGGACATGGACAGAAGCAGGGCGAGACGGAGCCGGGCAGACTCGAGGGTGCCCCGACCACCAGCCCAGCTCTGGCACCCCCAGAGGGGCCTAGGGGGGAGGCAGGGGCTTCGACAGCCAGTGTGGCCCCTGGATCTCCACAACAGACTGACTGGGCTCCCCTCGACCTCTCTCTAGGAGAGGCCAGAGGCCCTAGGCCCGGGGAGAGCGTGTGTGTGCTCAGTCCAGGGCCTGGGGCCCAGGAAAGCTCCGTGTCTGGGCCAGATGGTTCAGAGCAGCCTCAGGGATGGACCAACCACCAGGCTGAGCCAGAAGTCCAGACTTGCTCTGAGCCACGGAGAGGAGCAGGGCCCCCACAGCCCAGAGAAGAGGGGTCTGGCAAGGTTGGGGCCCAGCGGGGCCTGGCACCGAGGAGAAGCAGGCCCCCCAGAGGAACCAGCCTGAGGGCAAGAGGCACAGGAGGTGTGCGGAGCAGGACAGGGGGGCCTGGCCCTGCAGGAAGGTGCTGAGTACAGCTCCTGGCAGCTGGGGTGCGGGACGCGGAGAGGAGGAAGGACAAGCTCAGTTGAGAGTCTGCTGCGTGATGAGTGTCCTGTGTGTGATGAGCGTCCTCTGCGTGATGAGCGTCTGGTTGCTGGAGGCTGGTGCCAGGGTGGCTGAGCAGTTTGGCAAATTCTCCGGCAAAGTGGTGTCATGCCGGCAGGGGCCGTCTCCTTCCCTGCGCCTGGCCTGCACCTCCCTGTGCCTGTGTGTTTCCGTGTGCACGCGCTGCAGCCCCTGCTGTATTCCTCGTTGGCCCCTGCTCAGCCCTGCCGTGGTGAGAGGGCAAGGCTCGGTAGCCCTCGTCACCTGGCTTCCTGCTCCCTGTCATCCCCAACGGCCTGGCTCCTGCCCCAGCTGCCCGCTTTAGGCTCCTCAGGTTCAGGCAGCCTCAGCAGCTGGCATGGCCCGTCAAGGCCGGGGCCCTTCCCCATGCCCGGCCTTGAACCCAGGTGACTCACAGAGTGGCAGAACCAGGGGAATTTCAGTTATCACCTGGCCAACCTTCTGCCTTTCCTGAAGAGGGGCTGAGGCCCATAGAAGCTGGCAGTGACTGGGCTGGGAACAGAAAAGTCGGGCTCAGATCTTCTCTGGGAAGCAGAGGGTTTCTGGAAAGACCTCCTCTCTGAACTGGGATGTGGTGGGGTGGGCTGGGGGCCTCCTCTCACCACGGACACGGATGGGAAGAGCTCACCACTAGGAACCCCTGCAGGCCAGACATCAAGTGCACCCAGGGTCATTTCCTGCCCCCTCCCACTTCCTCTTCCGCCTAACCACAGCCATGCAGAAGCACAGACTCCTCCGACAGGGACTCACAGAGAAGCAGGGACTCCATCTAAGTATGACAGCAGGCCTGGTCTCTCCTACTGAGTCTGCATCCCACCCCTGCCCTGGGGCCCACGTCTGGTGAATTAACCAGACTCCGCAGAAGCTGTGGCTTCCTCTCAATTCAACAAACATTTCCCAAATGCCCACCGCAAGTAATCTGGCCAACAGAGGGGGGAAGAAACCCCATCATCTGGCCTATCCAGGCTGACAGCTGGAGCGGAAAGGACATCTTGGCTGGAGGTGACTGGCAGGGGCTGGGGGCCCCACTTCGGCTGGGCAAAGGCTGGTGTGCCTGTCTTGTGATGTGTGCTCATCGCTCACAATGTTGGGATGCCATTAGTGGTGCCCCCTGCCCCCTCCTCTGTGGCTCTGCCTGATTGTTCCTCTCTGCTGAGGGTCCTGGACTCACTTCCTCTCTGAGGGCTTCGGGGAGTAGCCGCATGATCCCCAGGATTTCTCCACTGTTCCAAGTGAGGCCTAACCCGTGGGGTTCCAGCCCATTTCCTCTCTCCCAGGGCTCACTGGCTCTTGGCCCCGCCCTCTCTCTATAGGAAGCATGAGGGTCGGGTATCTCTTCAGCTGTTTAGTGGGGGTGGGGGGGCCTCTCACACTTTAACATTCAGATAAAGGCCAATTCTAACTCAGGTCTGCAGGGCCTAAGAATCTGCATTTCTAATAGCGATGCTTATGCTGCTGGTACCAGACTACACTTTCCGAGTAGTAAAAATATATATGGCGGGTTAGGGGACCAAGACAGACTCTAGGTTCTAAGGGCTGGTTGCTAGATGTGCAGGGGGCGGGTGAGTGCTGGCCATGCTGGGTGAAGGGTGGGTGGGAAGCGGAGGCTCCTGGGGAAGGTAATTTAGAGGGCAATGAGTGGGTGCTGCCAACTTGCTCTAGTGGGGAGTGGGAAAGCTGGTTGGGAATGGGATGGGGTGAAGGGGAGTGACACAGATCGGAGGGGTTGATGCAGGTGGAAGGAGGACCCTGTGAGATGTGCTGGGCCGGGGAGAAAGATTCCAAGCTCAAGTTTGCCTCTTGCCTTGTAGTCACACGTACATGGCTTCGGGGGGTGGCACAGGCCCTGAAACCTGTGACTCCCAAAGGGAGGTGCTGAGGTAGAGCAGAGAGAGCTCTTGACTTTGGATGTCTCCAAAAGCTATTCTGAGCAGGAATTTGAATTACAAGAGCCACACGCTGCTTCCAACCCCCAGTGCTGCCAACTGTATACAGCTGTGCCTTCCTTAAAGCATAGATGCATGTTTGACTGTGGCATGGGGGATGTAAACATCGGCCGAGCTCTGGGTCAGCCCTCACAATGGGACTTATGCAGGAGGCAAAGCTGGGCAGAAGGGCTCTGGAGACACAGGGCCTCTCTCCCTGGGAGTAGTGTCCAGAAGGACGCTGGGAGAAAGGATGTCCCGGGAGTCGATAAGGGTTGGAGGGAATGGAGACTGGGCCCAGGGCATCCTCTGTGCAGGAAGACTGTAGTGCAAGGCAAGTAACACAGCTTTCCTCAATAAAGGGGGGGCTCTACCTCGGATAAGGGGAACAACAGCTACGGTGCCACCCCTCCTGCTCTATGACGGAGCCAGCTACGGACGAGACGCCCCGGCCCACACCTCAGCGTCAGGAAAGGTGGGCCGGATCTCTTTCTGGCTGCTGGGTTTAAAGGCTTGGCTGAGTCTTCCTCTCCCACCAACAGACAAGACTCAAAGGTGGGAAGTCGTTCCTTAGACAAGGCTATTGGGAACCCTGGCACAGAGCTGGAGCAAGTGAGAGAGGGTACAGGAGTTAGCAAGGTGGCAGCAGAGAGGACAGCTTCCCCTGAGGCTGAGGAGGGCAGAGGCGGCTAAAGGTCTGTACCCCAGGCCTGCTGCCCTTTGGCAGGAGAGGAGAGATTTTTGGACAGGCAGCATGGTGGAATGGAACAAGCACAGGCCTTGGAATCACAGACTGGATCTGAATCCTAGGTCTGCCAAATGCCAGCTGGGTGACCTTGGTCAATGTTAACCTCTATAAGGCTCAGCTTACTTATCTGCAAAATGGGGCTAGTAATACCTACCTTCAAAGATTGAGAAAATTAAAGAGTATCCAAAATGTACCCAGCACACAGTAGATGTTCTATTAACAGTAGCCCGGCATATAAAGGATGCTGGGTAAATCTTTGTTGAATAAATGAAGTAGCTATTCAGGGTGATCTCCGTCTGCTTTGTTTCCTTTCTTTTCCTTCTCGTCTAGCCTCATCTTCACTGGGGGTCAATCTGGGGAAACGGGGGTGGCCTGTAAGGTTAGTCTAGCCCTCCAGGACAATTAGCGTCTTTTAATCCCTCCAGGTGGTCGCCTAGTTAAAAGCCTCACAAAGGGATTCTGCTTTCACAGGGAGGGTCCTTTGCCCTGAGCCACCAGCTCTGTGACAAGGATGTCTTCAGCGTTTTCCCCTAACTGCACATGCTGGCTGTCACGGCTCAGAGTGTTCCTTTTCTCTTTACATCAGTAGGGATCTTTTGAAACCACACCACAGTTTTTGCTTCTTCAATATTTCTCCCAGAAACAAACCCCCTTGTGGGGTTTGCTCCATGCCCCGCCGAGTTGAGTTTTGTCACCCAAAGGAGCACTATTTCCTTACAGTCAAGGGACTACTGGGGATGACTGAAGCAGGCGAAAGGCCCCAGCTATCTAACAAGGCACGAATTTAGAAGGTTTAACCCCCAGTCAACTCCAACCCCAACCCTGGCCTCAGGGACAAGAGTAATGGGAAAAGGGGGCGCTAGCCCCAAAAAGGACAAAGGAAATGGTGAAAATCCCCATACGGTTATATCCTTTTATTTTGGGGACTAAACCCTGGGGTCCAAGGGAATAAAAGGACCTAAAGACACCACTTCCCTTCTGCCTCTAGAGGCATTTATCAGCGTCCACAGGCCCAGCCACAGCGCCTTTCTGAGCAAGGGTTATCAGGGTTTATGAGGAAGGCCTGACAGGGTGACCACAGCCTTACTGAGAGGGAGAACGGGAGGCTGCGGAAGGGAAGGAGGGGAGCCGGCATAAAGCACCGACGGAGGCTGCCTTCTCTCAAGGAGTGCGAGCCAGACGTCACAGTCCCTCGTTAAGCATCCACTTGACGCCAGGGAAGTGAAAAAGTGCAGACCTGGCACTGAAAGAACAAACATGGCACCCACTGCTCCTTTTAAGGACTGGCTCGAGGAGCAGCAGGCCCCAGGGCAGGGGGTGAGGCCAACACATGAGCACTCTGTGGGAGGGGAAGGGAGACTCTTTCGGGCCTGCCTCCTTCTTAACAAACTCTCCAGTGCAAGTTCTGTGCAAGGGTTAAAAAGAACAATCCACGTCGGTTTCTTCCCTTTTTCTCACAAACTCTGGGGACACAGTGTTTCCTTTTCTCCAACAGGACAGCTGGCTTCCACCAAGAAAAAGGGTCGAAAGTCACTTTGAGAACCATCTGTCAAAACAGAGCTACCCTAACCCTAAGGTACAGAATCAGAGAGAAAGGCTTGGCCAGTGGTTCTCAAACTTTAGTGTGCATCAGAATCACCTGGGGGGCTGGTGAAAACAAACTGCTGGGCTCCCCCCACACAAGTTCTCATTCAGCAGGCATCAGGGGCCTAAGGCTTTGCATTGCTAACAAGCGGGTAGGCGAAGCCGATGCTGATGCTGCTGGCTGGAGCACGGGTATGTCTATCGCTGCCCCTTCTCATTTCTCTCCACGCATATACCACCTCATGTGCCTACACTGTGCTTTTAGTTCCAAGATCTCAAAGCCCCTTTGCATCTATTATCTCCCTTTGCTCTAATAAATTCCCATCTGGTTGGGAGGAAACACAGAGGTCAAGGGCTTTAACCAGATTTCCCCTCTTCCAGCTCAGGGTTCTCTCCCAAGAACACTCTGCCTCTCCACCCGCGCCCTCATGATGCTGTGCGCTGCCTATAGCTCAGAGACTGGCTGCTGGGACTTGAGCCTGCCCAGGCCACCAGCAGAGAACTGAGGAGGCAGGTGGCCTCCAGGACACAAGTGGGCGGGGGGGCACTTCAACTAGTAACTCTGAACATTGAGGTAGCAGAGAGCACTAATGTCACTGAATTGTCCGTGTAAAAAATGTTCAAATGACAAACGTTGCGTTACATA